GGAGTCAATTCTTCCCATCAGGTGGCCAAAGTATTGGAGCTTCAGTTTCAGCATCAGTCCTTCCAATGAATATTCAGGACTGATTTCCTTTAGGAGGGACTGGTTTCATCCCCTTGCAGTCCAAGGAACTCTCAAGAGTCTCCTCCAGCACTTAAGTGACTTCCTTGGTGGTCCACTGGTTAAGACTCTGCACTTCCACTTCAGGGGGCATGACTTTGGTCTCTGGTTAGGGATCTCAGGGGCTTCCCAGGGGGCACTAGTGGTAAAGAACTCACCTGCCAATGCAGCAGTCGTAAGAGACTCAGGTTCCATCCCTGGGAGGACCCCCTGGAGCATGGCATGGCAACCCACTCCAGTACTCTTGCCTGGAGAATTCCACGGGCAGAGGAGGCCAGCAGGCTACAGCACACAGGTGGCAGAGAGCTGGACATGACTCAGCGACTGAACAGCAGCCATTTTTAATTGGAGGATAACTGTTTTACAATATGTGTTGGTTTCTGCCACATATCAACATGAATCAGCCACAGGCGTACGTGTGCCCCCTCTGTCCTGAACTTCCCTCCCACGTCCCACCCTGTCCCACCCCTCTAGGTCGTCACAGAGCACCGGGTTTGAGCTCCCTGCATCATACAGGCAGTTCCCACTGGCAGTCGATTTTACACATGGGAATGTACATGTTTAACAGGAGGGGAATTTTCTATTTTTTCTTGCTCATTACAGTGCTAAGTTCTCATCTGATATGCCATTCTTTTTTAAAAAAATTATTTGTTATGATTTTAGCCGTGCTGAGTGGCATGGCGGATCTGAGCTCCCCAAGCAGGGCCCAAACCCATGCCCCCTTCGGGGGGAGCACAGAGTGCTAACCGCTGGGCCGCTGGGGCAGTCCCGGACATGCCACCCTTGTGTGTCATGGTTTATTTCCAATTATCTCACCAGCATGGTGTGGCCATGCCCTGTGTCCACATCTTTGTGTACTCGAGTTGCAGTAACGAGGGATCAATCCCTCCAATCAGATTAGCGGGAAGACCAAAGCAGATGTGTCATGACCTTGGTGCATACAGTATTGACAAAGTGTCCGTCAGAAAGGTCGCTGTCTGCCTGATGGATGGAGGGGAGGTGGGGCCGTGGGGAGACAGGGACAGCTGTGCCGTTCACCCCGGCGGGGGCGGTGGGAGGGTGGGTGCCGCCCCCCGCCCCCCGCCCCCAGGGGTCTGGCCTTGGCCTCCCGGATCAGCCCGGACGCAGTCAGGAGACCAGAGGGGGCCGGCACTGAAAGTGCGAATCGTGGGTGGGGGGAGCTCTTAGAGCGTCCAGGGGCCAGATGAAACCTCACATAGCAGTCTCCGAACGGCTCCTGATCTATGTGGTTTATGAGATTAACTCCTGGCCGCAGTGCTATATATATATATATATACATACATGTATACATGTTGTTGTTCAGTCATTCAGTCCTATCCAACTCTTTAAGACCCCATGGACTGCAGCACACTAGGCTTCCCTGTCCTTCACCATCTCCCGGAGTTTGCTCACACTCACATCCATTGAGTTGGTGATGCCATCCAACCATCTCATCCTCTGTCGTCCCCTTCTCCTCCCACCCTCAGTTTTTCCTAGCATCAGGGTCTTTTCCAATGAGTCAACTCTTCACATCAGGTGGCCAAAGTATTGGAGTTTCAGCTTCAGCATCAGTCCTTCCAATGAACACCCAGGACTGATCTCCCTTAGGATGGACTGGTTGGATCTCCTTGCAGTCCAAGGGACTCTCAGGATTCTTCTCCAACACCACGGTTCAAAAGTATCACTTCTTTGGCACTCAGCCTTCTTTACAGTCCAACTCTCACATCCATACATGACCACTGGAAAAACCATAGCTTTGACTAGACAGACCTTTGTCAGCAAAGTGATGTCTCTGCTTTTCAGCACACTGTCTAGGTGGGTCATAACTTTCCTTCCAAGGAGCAAACATCTTTTGATTTCATGGCTGCAGTCACAGTCCACAATAATTTTGGAGCCCAAGACGGTGAAATCTGTCACTGCTTCCACTTATACACGTGTCCACATATATGTTTCCATTCCTAATTCTGTGTTTTGGGTTTTTTGTTGTTCTCTTTTGTTCTGGCTGTGTCACAAGGCGTGGGGACTGGGGACCGGGGCCTCTGCATTGGAAGCACAGGGTCTTAAGCAATGGGCCACCAGGGAATTCCTGTATTTCTATCTCTGTATAAACATATATATCTTGGTAATTTAGTAGCTCAGTCGTGTCCAACTCTTTGCAACCCCATGGACTGTAGCCCACTAGGCTCCTCTGTCTTGGGATTCTCCAGGCAAGAACATTGAAGCGGGTTGCCATTTCCTTCTCCAGGGGATCTTCCCGACCCAGGGATCAAAACTGGGTTTCCTGCACTGCTCATGGATTCTTTACCAACTGAGCCAGCAGGGGAACCCAAACATATATATCTTATACACACATATTTCTATATAAACCCATATATCTTACACATAAAAAATATATAAACATACATGTGACATATATTTTTTTCTCATCTGTATAAAGAAGGAGAGAATTTCGTTCCCCGAAGAAGCACATTTTAGGTGATACTGCTAAAGCATGCTGATATTTTTCTTTTATGACCACTTCCCTTGTAACCATTCCAAAGTTTTAACTGCAGAGAAAAGGAAAGACCCCTGCCCTAAAGAGTAACACATCTACCGTGGGCTCAGTAACCGCTTCCCTTGTCACGTCCATCGGCCTGTCTGTTTATCTCTCCTTGGTGGGGGGAGAGACTGACCCATTTGCAAGTAGATTTCAGACCTCCGGGCCCTTTACCCCTGGACAGGTCAACATCGCCCTCCGTTAGCAGGAACGGTCTCTTGTGTAAACAGAACGCCATTAGCCGCACTGGACAAAACTAACAGCACCCCTGTGTGCAAACAGAGGTTAACCATCAACCAGCGCTTCTGGAGATAACAGGCTGAAGCCCCGTGTTTACCGAGTTGTTCTCAATTTGTAGGCCAGGCCGATAAGCCCGCCATGCACGTCTGGGTGTTTGAATATCTTATCCTGAAGGGCTGTCACAGATCCGGTGCACAGTTAATGTTCAATGAGCACTCACCACCCGGGTTGTGCAAGGCGTCCTGAGCACGCTCAGGCAGCGTGACGCCTGTGCATCTGCTGGTCTCTGCCCTGACACAGCAAGCCTGTCAGCCACACTCCACTGCACAGCTCATGCTCACGCGGGCCTGCGGTCACGGCCACAGCTGGCACTTCCGGGGCTGCTGCTAATGCATCTTTGCCCGCGCGCAGTCGCTTCGTAGCATCGCGTTGGCTGCTGCTCGGCCGCAGGGACCCAGACGCTCGTGGGCACACACACACATGCCCTCTGCTTTGGGCTTCCCGCCCACTCAGGCCACCAGAGCGCTGAGGAGACTTTCTCGTGCTCCGCACTCTGTTCTCATCAGTCACCTCTTTTATCCACAGTGTCACCAGGGTGTATATGTCAATTCCAGCCTCCCAATTCCTCCTGCCCCCCACCTGCTGTCAGGGTACCCACACATTTCTTCATCTGAATCTGTCTTTTTGCTTTGCAAATAAGATCATCTGTACCGTGTTTTTCTGGATCCCACACTTGCGTGTTATATGATGATTTTTTTTCTTTCTGACTTACTTCACTCTGTACAGCATGCTCTAGGACCATCCACTTTGTATGACACTCTCGAGGTTCATCCACGTCTCCACCAATGGCCCAGGTTCCTGCCTTTTTATGACTGAGGCGCATTCCACTGGATATCTACGCCTCATCTTCTTTATCCATTCCTCCACTGATGGACATTTAGGCTGCTTCCATGTCCTGATGCTTGTAGTGATAAATAGGCTGCAGTGAACATTGCAGGGCATGTGTCTTTTGGAATGATGGTTTTCTTTCAGGAATAGGCCCAGGAAGGGAATTGCTGGATGATATGATCGTTCTATGTTTAGTTTTTTAAAGAACCTCCACACTGTTCTCCATAGTGACTGAGGTTTAGAATGTTTTTTTTTAAATATATATATATTTATTTAATTTATTTGGCTGCAGCAACTCTTGGTTGCAGCCTGTGGGACTTACTTCCCTGAACAGGGGTTGAACCCGGGGCTGTGCGGTGGAAGTGCGGCGTCTTAGCCACTGGACCACCAGGGAAGCCCCTAAAACGCTCTTCAAACTAGCTGGCCAGAGAAATTCTGCCGACGCCCTCCCAGCAAGCCCCTCGTTGCTTGCTGGGGGGCCTCTCAGCAGGCCTGCCTCCCGCCGGCCCCTCCTCCAGGAAGATGCTGCTGCGCCCAAGTGCTGTGGGCCTCGGTGTGGGGAAGGGGGGTCATCCTAAAAGCGCCAGGAGTGTGACTCGAAGCGGGGTCAGGGCCAATTTAACCTGGGGAAGGAGGCAGGGCCACGGAGAGATCATTGCTGGAGATGAGAGAAGGATCAGTCACCAGGGATCCCCGGAGCGTTCCCGAGCAGAGCCGGCTAGGCCGGGATCGACAGGCCGCCTCCGAGGCCTCGGGCTCAGGTGGGAGACAGACGGGGTGGAGGAGGTGTCCCTGGTCGCCGGTCCCGCCTGGGAGAGGAGAATGAGAGGTGCCCGCAGAGGGCCAGGGCCCGCCAGCAGGAGAGGAAGAGCCTCCAGCGCACACCCCGCTCCCGCCGCTCTCAGCAGCGCCCCCGCACCTCCCGCGCGCACGGGAGCCCCGTCCTCACCGCTCTCCCCATCCCAGAGCCCCCCGCCTGAGAGTCATCCACACTGGCAGGTGGGTTCTTCACCACTGAGCCTCCAGGGAAGCCCTATCTAGCTTTGTCCTTCTTGTGCAGTCGTTCAGTCGTGTCCGACTCTTTGCGACCCCATGGACCGCAGCACACCAGGCCTCCCTGTCCATCACCAACTCCCAGAGTCCACCCAAACCCATGTCCATGGAGTCGGTGATGCCATCCAACCGCCTCATCCTCTGTCATCCCTTCTCCTCCTGCCCTCAGTCTTTCCCAGCACCAGGGTCTTTCCCAGTGAGCCGGCTGTTTGCATCAGGTGGCCTGAGGGTTGGCGCTTCTAAGCTTGGGCTGATCTTTGTAAAGTACAGTCCTGACCCAGAGCCTCCTGGGCGCTCCCGCGTCCTGCCTGGCTCTGCAGAACACACAGACGTCACTCATTCCAGTATGGCTGGGCCAACACATCAGCAGATGACTACTGTAAAAAAGATAACTAAGGACTTCCCTGGCGTTCCAGGGGTTAGGACCCTGAGATTCCACTTGGGTTCCATCCCTGGTCGGTCAACTAAGATTCCACAAGTGGCACAGCACGGCCAAAGTAAATAAATAAACCCTAGAAAAAAGAAAAAGCGCTCGGCCTGCCTAGTTGGCAGGGTTCTCGGTCTTGGCAGCGATCCCAGGGAACCTGCCAGCCCTGGCAGAGCAGGGTGCTCGGTCAGCATGCTGGTGATGCCAGAGGTGCCGGGCCCTCCTCTGGGCGGCTGAGCCCCGGCTGGACCTGCTGCTTCACCGACAGCCGCTCAGACACGGAGGGGAGGCGGTGTCCTCCAATGGGCTCCCAGTCCGCTTCTCTCCCGGCTGACTTCTTCTCCCCGTGGGCGCGGCCTCTCATCCTTCTGAAGTGTGGGCAAACTCGGGTTTTATCCCGCTGGATGGTCCTCGTCTGTGCAGGCCCACCTCGGCGTGACCTGTCTTGGGGTCAGGCCTCCCTGTCTCTAAAGGTGTAGACGCGTTTGCTGTCCACACTCTGTCCACACCCTGTACAACAACTAACCGTTAGCTGCCTGAACCCTCTTTTCCACTCACGTTGAGCCCCAAACTCATTCTCGGCCACCCGGACCAGGAGCCGTCTGCTCTGGGAGCTGGGTCTTCATCGAACCGAAAAGTGTGCATCTGCAGGGTCTGCTCCAGCAGAACAAACCCAGGCAGGGTCCCTTGTCCCAGAGAGTCTCAGTGAAGTGGGAGAGCAGACAGCAGGAAGTACGGGAGGGTGACAGTGACTTATCTGGGAAGGCTGGAGACGTGGGTTCTCTGTAGCCAGTGGTTCTCAGCCGGGGCGGCAGGGGAAGTTTGCCTCTTCCACCTCCGGGGACATTCTGCAAGTCTTAGAGACACTCTTGATTGTCACAGCTGGGGTGTGGGGAGGGATGCTGAGGTATCTAGTGACTAGAGACCAGGGATGCTACTGACCATCCCGCAATGCACAGCACAGACACCCCCCAGCCCCCAAAAGTGTCTCAGCCGTGTCCAAGTCCCTGTGACCCCAGGGACTGTAGCCCGCCAGGCTCCTCTGTCTGTGGGATTCTCCAGGCAAGAATACTGGGGTGGGTTGCCATGCCTTCCTCCAGGGGATCTCCCTGACCCAGGGATGAAACCTGGGTCTCCTGTGTCTCGTGCATGGGCAGGCAGATTCTTGACCCACTGAGCCAAGAGTAGCTGGCCCAAAATGTCAGCTGTGTTGAGGGTGAGGAAGCCGCTCTGTAGCCCAGCCCTTCTGCTTCTGGATAAACGCCCCAGGGATGGGATGAGTGCATTCCTGTCCCCGTCTCATCAGGTGCCAGGGTGCCCACTGGGATATTTGCTCAAGGCTCCCTGTGTGCCAGGCACCACCCCACGGATGGGGGCTGTGCATGTTCCTCGTAGTGAAAATTATGTCTGCCAGCAGGAAAACAGATGGTGCTTCACCCCTTCAGAGGAATACAGTGTAGCGGATTTACAAATGAGTATATCCATATAGGTGTGTGTGTGTGTGTGTGTGCTCAGTCGTGCCTGATCTTTGTGACCTCAGGGACTGTAGCCCGCCAGCCTCCTCCGTCCATGAGATGCTCCAGCAAGAATACTGGAGTGGGCTGCCATTTCCTCCTCCAGGGGGTCTTCCCGACCCAGGGATTGAGCTCACATCTGCTGCAGTGGCAGGCGGATGCTCTCCCACTGAGCCACCTGAGAGGCCCCTCCGCAGAGACACAGGCTGCCTGGTGGGCCTCTCGCCTCCGAGTGGGACCCACAGAGGCCCCAAGCCCTTCCCTCCCCGGAGGTCTCAGCTCCCAGTTGGCACGTGGGGCTCCCGTGAGTCAGCGCCCCATGAACAAGAAGGAGCGGAACGTGATCCCATATGGACACTCAGGTCTCTGCCCTGCAGAGAGGAGAGAAATGCCCCTGTGGATGGGCGTTTATTATGCACCTAAGGTATGCTCCCTGGCATCCTGAGCCTCTCCACCATCCCCACTACCACACACAGTTTGACGTCAGAGCCTGGAAAATTCCAGTCTCGCTGGTGCAGTCCCCGACCCCCTCCCTCCCCTGCTCCTGGCTGCAGTTTCCATGACAACAGCCGGAGCCTGCCTCCTTCTCCACCAGGTAATTATTCCTCAAGGGCAGGGGCAGCGCAAGGTGGGGGCGGGTGTGTGGGGAGATGGGACGACCCAGCCCCCAGGCCTCCTGTGGCAGCCACTGTCCTGCCCCTTAAAACACACTGGAATGGGAGCCTGGCAGAAGGTCACGAATTTGTAGGCCTGGACCTGCACGAAGCCACACACGTCTTTTAAGCACCAGTGACACCCGCTATGGTCTCTTCTTTGCTCACTTATCTATTCATTTATTCAGCAAATATGATCCACTGTTCCCGGAGCCGGTGGTAGGAGAGAAAAACAAACCCTGGAAGAGGCGTGCTCTTTGGTCCGAGAGCCAAGCCGTTGGTGACATTTTGTTCCTTCAGACAAGAATGTTTCAGATTCATTTAGCAAAAGGTTATGGAAGGACCATTGCTCATTGCATGCAAGGGTCACGCAAGGTGTAGAGAATACGTCGTAAGGAATGAACGTCAGATCCCTGCCCAGAATGCCTGGTAGGACCTTCGAACATTTTTAGAAAGAGAGTAAACGGACAAAGGAGTGAAGTCTGTTCAGCTCAAAGTTAGGATTCTGTGCCTTCATTCATCTGACGTCACGGACTAGCATGAAGTTTGGGGCCTTCCCAATGGTTCAAGCGGTAAAGATCCACCGATCAGGCAGGAGATGTAAGAGAGGAAGGTTCGATCCCTGGGTCGGGAAGACCCCCTGGAGAAGGGCATGGCAGCCCACTCCAGTGCTCTTGACTGGAGGGGTATAGTCCATGGAGAGTCAGACACGACTGAGCACACGGGACGCGTGCAGAAAGTGTACTTTCTTGAACGGACAGGCAGTTAGCAGGATGTTGAATACCCCGGGACTTGCCTGAGACCCAGACGTAGAGAACAAACGTGTGGACACCGAGAGGGGAAGAGGCAATGGGATGAACTGGGAGTTTGGGGTTGACACATACACAATATCGATCATGTATAAAACAGGTGACTAGTGGAGCCTACGGTGCAGCTCAAGGAGCCCTACTCTGTGGAGGCCCGAGTGGGGAGGGGATCCAAGGAAGGGGGCGTGTATGTGTACACGGGGCTGATTCACCCCGCTGCGTGGCAGAGACCAGCACAGCCTTGTAACGCAATTCTACTCCAGTGGGGGGAAAACCACATTCGTTTCTAACAGCGAGTGCTTTCATCACACAAAATAAAGTAAAAAGGGATCTGAGTAGGAGGGGAGAGGGCAGCATTTGGGCGGAGAGAGAGCTGATGGTTTTCAGTGTTCCGCTCCCCATCAGAAAGCCTGGGTGAGTATCTGTATAGTCTGCGTGGAGAAGGGGCTCTGTGAGCACCGCTCTGCGGTTTATAACCACAGAGAGGACGAGGTAAACCAGCCTGGCTCCCTCAGAGCTGAGACAGTAGGCGGAGAAGAGGCCAAAAGCAACGTCGGCCAAAATAAGTGACCAAGCGCGCAAGACCGCTTGCAGCCCAATGAGAACCAAAGAAACGACATGTTTTATATGTCAATTTGCTTTAAAAGGAAATGAATTAAAAACACAGGAGAGGGAATTCCCCGCTAGTCCAGTGGTTAGAGCACCATGCTCTCACAACCAGGGGCCCGGGTTCATTCCCTGATTAGGGAACTAAGACCCCATAAGCTTCACAGTACAGCCAAAAATGTTTAAAAAATAAAGCATTGCTAATATATATATAGATACATGTATATATGTATATGTATATACATATATGCATATATGTAGCAATGCATTATTTTGTATATATATATGGGTGAAAATAAACTTTATAGTATTTCAGAATGGACAGAAAGGCTTTATAGGAAAAAATTGAAATGTTAAATTACAAAATAACATTCCAACCTCTTTGTACACCAAAAAAAAAAGGAAAGTAAACTGGCAAGTCATTTTTCCAGTTGTCAAGCGGACAAAAATGGGAATATAGACAAAGAGAGTTGGTGATTGTGTGAAAAAAAAAAAAAACAACAAAAAACCCATGCCTTCACAGGCTAGTAGGGAGAATGCCATTTGTTACAACCTTCCTGGCAAGTTCTTTGGGCAGAAGGCATCCAGATTTATATGCACATGCTCTTTGACCCGGCAAACGCACCCCTGGAAATCTGCCCCCTGCAGACGCTCACAGACATACACACACCACACGGCGCTCAGGTCAGAGGTGCTGGGGAAGTGCCCAGTGGAACAGTCCTCGTCTGTGTGGGGCCTGGAAAGTGCTGTCGTGGCCGGATCTTAGAGCCCAGAGACATAAATGTCTGCGTGACAAGGAAACTGTGTTCTGAAGGGGGTTGGATGTTAAGATTCCGTGTTACATAAACAAGAACCAGATTAAACTCCTGTATACACATCACTAGGGCTTCCCAGGTGGCACTGTCGGTAGAGAACCTGCCTGTCAGTGCCGGAGACTTTAGAGACGCTGGTTTGATCCCTGGGTGGGGAAGATCTCCTGGAGGAGGAAATGGCCACCCACTCTAGTATTCTTGCCTGGAGAATCCCATGGACAGAGGAGCCTGGGGGGCTACAGTCCACGGGGGTCACAAGGAGTCGGACACGACCGAGCGACTCAGCATGCGTAAGGCAACTTGCAGAGCAACTGGCCTCTGTCTAGAAGAGCTGGTGATGGGCATCCCCCGACCTCTCAGAAAACCCACCTTGAGGTCTGTGCCCAGCACAGACTCACCGTGTGGAAGGAGACTGGTTCATTGTGACCCTCACTCATCCAGCAAATGTTTGTTGAGCAGAAACCACGTTCCAGGCACTGTCACAGGCACTGGAGACATCCAGGGTTGCTTGTCATAGCAAGGGGAAAAAAAAAAAAAAACACGCATCCTAAGGGTCCACCCGCGGGAGAACAGGCAGCTTAACTGATGTCTGTTGATCCATGGAGTGTGATGAGCAGTTGAAAAGCAAGAGTGAGGGGCTTCCTTGGCGGTCCAGTAGCTAAGGCTCCATGTTCCCAGTGCAGGGGGCCTGGGGTCCGTCCCTGGTCAGGGGATTAGATCCCACTTGCTGCAGGTAAGAGTTCAAGGGCCACAGCGAAGACCCGGCTCAGCCAAATAAATAAAAATAGATACTAAAAAACAGAAGGAAGTAGCATTGGCACATACACACCACCGTGTGTGAAGCAGACAGCTGGTGGGACGCTGCTTTAGAGCCCAGGGCGCTCAGCTCCGTGGTCTGTGATGATCTAGGGGCTGGGGCGGGTTGGGGAGGGGAGAGAGCCTCAGAGGGAGGGGGCCTGTGTATGCCCATGGCTGGCGAAAAACCAGCACAACATTAAAAGTGATTATCCTCCAATTAAAACCTGCGGCTGTTCAGTCACCCAAGTCGTGTCCGACTCTTTGTGACCCCATGGACGGCAGCCCACCAGGCCCCTCTGTCCATGGGATTCTCCAGGCACGAATACTGGATGGGGGATCCTCCCGAGCCAGGGCTTGAACCCGTGTCTGCTGCACTGGAGGGCATATTCTTTACCACTGAGCCACCTATTGGAAGCACAATTAGAGTAGTAAGTTTATCTAACTCTGGAGCTTGGCATTTAGATGCTCACTTGCCCTGAAATATACCTTTGCCAGCTCTAAAGATGTAATAAAGATACTGCGGTCTTCAAAAAATATATGTGTATATAAACTGACTGTGTGTATGGATATATGTGTATATATAACTGATTCACTTTGCTGTATACCTCAAGAATGGCACAACGTTGTAAATCAGCTACAAAACGCAGGGAGACTCACAGACTTAGAGAATGAACTTAGGGTTGCGGGGTGGAGGTGGGGGGGAAAGGTGGATGGGGAAAGGGACAGTTAGGGAGTGTGGGATGGACATGGACACACGGCTGTATTCAAAATGCAGAACCAGGAGGGACCTGCTGTAGACACAGGGAAGTCTGCTCAGGGTTATGTGGCAGCCTGGATGGGAGGGGGCTTTGGGGGAGAGTGGGTGCGTGGATGTGTAGGGCTGAGTCCCTTCACTGTTCGCCTGAAACTATCGCAGCGTTGTTAATCGGCTGTAACGGCCAATGCAAAATAAAAAGTTCAGAAAAGAGGAAGGAGCACCTGCTTCGTGATAGCCAGGCTTGTGGACCCGGGTGCCGTCTAACTTCAGAACTGGAAATCTCCAGCCCGCAGCGGCCCCCTTGCCCTCGTCTCCGCGGTCTGNGGTAAAACAGGTAACCAGTAAGGACCTGCTGCTCAGCACGGGGAACTCTACCCAATGCCCTGTAAGGGCCTACATGGGAACAGAATCCAATGAGAGCGGACGCGTTTATTACTGAGTCCCTTGCTGTACGTCTGAAAACAGCATTGCAGATCGGCTGTTGCTGTCGTTTAGTTGTTCAGCTGAGTTCCACTCTTTGAGACCCCATGGACTGTAGCCTGCCAGGCTCCTCCATCCATGGGATTCTCCAGGCAAAAACACTGGAGTGGGTTGCCCGTTCCTTCTCCAGGGGATCCTCCCGGCTCAGGGACTGAACCCTGGCCTCCTGCACTGCGGGCGGATGCCTTACCATCTGAGCCAGCAGGGAAGCCCCAAGAGGATGCAGTGCCTGCCCCCACGGGCTGACTACTCTGCTAGGCACCTGCTGTGTGCCTGCTGTTCAGCACTCATGACAGTCTGAACGTTGAGGGGAGCTCTTTCCCCCACCCCGCCAGTTCACAGAGGAGGCCCCCAGGGCTTGCGGAGGAGGACAGGAGGCCATCTGGCAGCTGGTCAGGTGTGGGGATGTGGACTCAGGCCGGCCTCGGCCTCGTCCTCATCCATCACGCCCTCCCTCTGTCATCACCAGAGCCTCAGTTTCCTTCTCTGATCAAGAGGGCCCATGAGGTCACGGGTGTACCTGTGGATTTTATTGATTAGTCACTGCAAGTATTAGTATTGTCTTCCCCGGTGACTCGGTGGTGAAGAATCCGCCTGCCAGTGCAGGAGACCTGGGTTCTATCGCTGGGCTGGGAAGATCCCCTGGAGGAGGGCACGGCAAACCACCGCTGTATTCTTGCCTGGAGAACCCAGGGACAGAGGAGCCTGGCCCGCTATGGGGTCAGTCCATGGGGTCGCAAAGAGTCGGACACAGCGTGTGACTAAACGACAAGTATTAGCAGGGATGATATCCTTTATCTGTATGAGCAGGGTTGTAAGGGAAATGGAGGTGACGGGACTGCCTGACACAGTCCACGTGTGGGCTTATGTCTCACATACAGGAAGCACTCAATGCTCATCAGCTTGGTGTTTGCAGCAGAAGTAGGAAGCTCCTCCTTGTCTTGCTAAAGGCCGGAGTGGTCACAGGGCTGCAGCGTATGGTTGGGCAGGCTGTGCACTGCACAAGGGGGCAAGTGAGAGACTTGAAGTGCAAACCACCCTGAGCCACCCCGCTGTGCCTCGTGGCACGTGGCTGCGCCCTCCCGGACAGGCAGCATCTCTGGCTCCTTCACGTGGAGGCAAAGGCCTGGGTGAGCCGGGGTCCTGGAGGCCGTGACGCCTCGGGAACTTGGGACACCAGGTCCAGGAGAGGCCGGTGTCTAACAGCAAGCATTCTTGGCAGCGAGCCGCCAATACCACTGGGGCAGACTACAGCTGCTCAGAGAGGTGTGTGGGAGATAGCGGGCAGATCTGAGAGAAGCCAGGCAGGCTTTACGTTCCCAGGTGAGGTTCTGGAGCCAGACTTGTCAGTGACAGACTGGCCTCAGGACTGGCCCAGGGAGAATGCGGGCGCCACCGACCCTGGGCTCGGGAACTCACCACCGCCTCTGCTGTCTCTGGCCGTGAGCGCTCACGCTGCGGGAGGCGTACTTTGCTGGGCCACTAATGGGCGTGCATTGAGGGGAAAAAAGGAGAATCCTCACCCACAGCGAGAGAATCAGGAGGAAGAGAGAAAGAGGAAAGAGTGGGAGAAAAGAGAAAGAAAGAAAGGAGAGAGAGAAGGGGAAAGAGAAAAAGAAGGAAACAGGGAGAGAGAAAGAAAAATAGGGATCCATTCACCGTGTTTCTGTAGCTGAATGTACAAACACACACAGAAAGCATGGTGACAAAATCATGAGGATTTTTCTCGTTTATTATGTGAGATCTACCTTTGTGTCTGAGTTACTATCACTGTTCTTGTTGATCTTTTACTATAATTCGATGTCATACCGGACTCTGGAAGTGGGCTACAAACGCCTGAGGCCCGCAAGGTCCCAAACAGTCACTCGGCACAGGGAGTGAAAGTGTCAGAATATCAGAGTCAAGGTTTTAAGTCCAGGAAAGTAGAGAGAAACCGGTTGGTCAGCGGCTCCAGGCATGTAACCTACAGGACAGACAACTAGTCTTCTATATGTTTACGGTTTGGGGGGGGCGCGTCTCCCAGAATACTGGCTGTGTTTCACTGTTTCCGAGAAGGCTGTTCCCTTTCTGGGTGAGAAGGCACATACAGGGAGAGCCTGGGCTCTGGTCTGGCCTTTCGCTCATTAATCAGGGAAAATGCTGAGGTAGATTGATGTATCTGGCACGCAGGCTCAATGGGGACGTTCTGAGAGCTCCGTCCAAAGGGCCGTGGGTTTCCGGGAGAAACTCCTGTCCCACATGAACCACCTTTTCAGTCAGATGCTGGCTCGGCTTCCTCCGTGAGCAACTGCAGCCAGGCCGGTGGTGAAGAACAGGGTTTCCTCTATGCGGGCACCAGTGGTCTCCTGTCTGCAGCTCCACACGGAGGCTCGGTGTGAACGTTCTTATCATCATGGACGGGCGAGGAACTGCTCCTGCAGGTCACAAAAGCACGCTAGCATGAAAGAAGAGAGACATAACCACGTAGTAACCATGAGATGCCACCTCACACCCATTAGGATGGTAACGATTTCTTTAAAAACAAAAACAAGAAAAGAAAATATGGCTGATCACTGTTTCCGAGAAGGCTGTTCCCTTTCTGGGTGAGAAGGCACATACAGGGAGAGCCTGGGCTCTGGTCTGGCCTTTCGCTCATTAATCAGGGGAAATGCTGAGGTAGATTGATGTATCTGGCACGCAGGCTCAATGGGGACGTTCTGAGAGCTCCGTCCAAAGGGCCATGGGTTTCCGGGAGAAACTCCTGTCCCACATGAACCACCTTTTCAGTCGGATGCTGGCTCGGCTTCCTCCGTGAGCAACTGCAGCCAGGCCAGTGGTGAAGAACAGGGTTTCCTCTATGCGGGCACCAGTGGTCTCCTGTCTGCAGCTCCACACGGAGGCTCGGTGCGAATGTTCTTATCATCATGGACGGGCGAGGAGCTGCTCCTGCAGGTCGCAAAAGCACGCTAGCATGAAAGAAGAGAGACATAACCACGTAGAAACCATGAGATGCCACCTCACACCCATTAGGATGGTAACGATTTCTTTAAAAACAAAAACAAGAAAAGAAAATATGGCTGGCCCTCCGCATCCGCAGGTTCGTCAACTGTAGGTTTAACCGACTGCACATGGATTCAGTCCCAGCTTGGCTGAACCCATGCATACTGGAGGGCCACGCCTGAGGGACTTGGGCAGCCTCGGAGTTCCGATCCGCGGAGGTCCCAGAACCGATGGGGGACCATGACGAGTGCTGGAGAGGAGATGAGAAACTGGAACGCTTGTGCACTGTGGTGGAAATGTAAAATGCTGCAGCCGCCGTGGAAAACAGTTTGGAGGTGTGGCTCCAGCAGTAAAGAGTCTGCCTGCAATGCAGGAGGCGCAGGTTCTATCCCTGGGTCAGGATGATCCCCTGGAAACAGGAATGGTAACCCACTCCAGTATTCTTGCCTGGAGAATTCCATGGTCAGAGGAGCCTGGCAGGCTACAGCCCACAGTGTGGCAAAGGGTCGGACATGACTGAACAACTGGCACTTTGACATTGAAAAAAACTACTGACAGAATTGCCATATGGGGAATTCCCTGGTGGTCCAGTGGTTAGAATTCCATGCTTCCACTGCAGGAGACATGGGTTCAATCCCTCGTAGGGGAATTAATGTTGCAGGGCCAAAAAAGAAAGAATTGATCCTAGAATTCCATCCCTGGGTATACACCCAAAAGAATTGAGAGCAGCATCTTGACGAGATATTTGCACACCCGTGTTCATAGCAGCATTGTTCACAGTAGCCAAAAGGTAGAAACCATCAAGTGTCCCTCAGTGGATGAACAGATGAATGAAGTGTGGCCCACCCGTTCAGTGGAATATTATTCATCCTTGAAAAGCAAGGAAGCTCTGACACAGGCTACAACATGGACGAACCTTGAGGATGTTGTTCTTGCTGTTCAGTTGCTCAGTCTTGTCTGACTGTTTGTGACCCCGCGGACTGCAGCACGCCAGGCTCCTCTGTCCTTCACTCTCTCCCAGAGCTGCTAGAACTCATGTCCATCGAGTCGGTGATGCCATCCAACCATCTCATCCCCTGTTGTCCCCTTCTCCTCCCGCCTTCAATCTTTCCCAGCATCAGGGTCTTTTCCAATGAGTAAGCTCTTCACATCAGGTGGCCAAAGTATTGGAGTTTCAGCTTCAGCATCAGTCCTTCCAATGAACATGCAGGACTGATTTCCATTTAAGATTGACTCTAATCTCCTTGCAGTCCAAAAGAGACTCAAGAGTCTTCTCTAGTCTTCTGAGGACATTATGCTGTGAAATAAGCCAGTGGAAAAAAGGCAAATCCTGCATGATCCTGCTTGTATGGGGCACCGAGAACAAATTCATAAAGACAGAAAACAGGGTGGTGATTTCGAGGGGCTGGGGAGGGAGAGAGTGGAGCGTTCATGCTTAATGGGGACAGAGCTTCAGGTTTGCAAGATGAAGAGGGTTCTAGAGACGGACGTGCTGACGGTCACACAACCGTGTGAATAAGACTTGATGCTGCTGAGCCGTGTGCTAAAAACTGGTTAAGATGGTAAAGTCTGTGTGATCTGTACTTTGTCACAACCTAAAAAAACACGTTAAATAGTGTATGTGGCTACGTAAAGGGGAAAGCCGCAGTTAAAAGAGCTAGCAAAGAAAAACCGCCACAGGTTAAATTCACTCCTGCAGACGTGGTAGGCAAGGGAATTGATATCACGACAAAGAGCTGATGCTTTCGGACTCTGGTGCTGGAGAAGCCTCTCGAGAGTGCCTTGGACTGCCAGGAGATCAAGCTGCTTTCTACCTGCCGCGGTGGACACATCCACCCTGCTGAGCTTTTC